ATATATACAGAGAGAGAGAGAGAGAGAGAGAGAGAGAGAGAGAGAGATCATTGTGTCCCCTGGGGTTTGTATAAGCAAAACCTTTTTTAAGTTGCCACATACAGCAGAGTGTGAAGTCAGTAGTAAACAATGTGTTAAATTGATTCCACAATTCATCTCCCACCTCACTGGTTAAGCTCATTAAGGCCTTTCTAATGGCACAATCTCATTCAAGTGATTGATATTTGGGGAGAGGTAGGATTGGTCCTTGAGGAGCGGGATAGACTGAAGCTGGCACAAAAAAAAAATGCAATAGAAAACGTCTCGATGAAAATTAGTCAATTAGGAATGAAACAATCGAGATTTAAAGGAAGTAAAATACAGTATACACCAATTTCATCACTCGGTTGAAAGACAGCTATCCGGATATAATGCAGTGTAGAATAGAATCACATAGAATAGAATAAAGCTTTATCAGTGAGGAAAGGTAATCATAATAAAAACATAACTTTAAAAATTCCAAACTCTAGGCAACATGAGGCAGAAAGACTGAGCAGAGGGATCAGTAGCAGTGTATGTGGCAACAATTCATGTTTAGAAATACTAAAGTATACACGCACAGAAATGTTAAATTATACGTTAAAAAAAGGAATCCCGTACATTATATTGACAAACTTGAATGTGAACGCAATCATGAATAGGCAGCAGATGTGCTCATCCATCAGAAATAAGTTTTGCAGATTTTGTGTTGATTCAAGATTATATGCAAATGTTTACAATAGCAATTGCTAAAAACACACTTTTTTTTCAATCAGTAATATTGCTACTTATCAGCAGTGACCTTCAAGTCCAAGTGAAAGTTAATTTGACATGAACATTTCTTGGCATTCAAAGCGTAGGATATTATGACACATACTTCAATCAGTCATTTTTTTAAAAAGTCATTAATGGTTTTAGAGGCTTATAGTTTAATGATTAATGGCTCTAAATAGTTTTTTTGGATCAATTTAATCAAATAGATGGGTGTGAACCAGCAGTTTATCACAGAGCTTGATGCGTGCATATCATTTCATATCAACCCAACATAAATCTAAGAGGTTTAATCCTCAAATAGTCCTCATCCAGTTGCCAAGTCTCAATCGCATTGTTCAACATTTACCGGCGACGAAAAATGTTTCGGAATACCGCGCCGCGTGAGGACATCACGCGTAGAAAGGAAAAGCAACCAAGGCTTTATTTCTCGGACAAAGCAACCCATTAGAGTAGAAAAAAAAAAGAAATTACCTCAAAGGAGCATATGTCCTTGTAGCAACGCAGCCAATAGAAAATGAAATAGTTCACCACTTTGAATGATGTATAAACCAGAAGTAACAACTATCCATTGACCATTCAGTCAATATTGAAGACAATGCTCAAGCATTCATACAAGTAGCGGTCTCGTCTGAAATAGACACTTCCTCTTAATGAATGCTCTGCAGACTCTCAAGAGGTGAATAAATAAATCGACCAGACGCTATTTGAGAAAATACGGTCCAGTGCCGTGAAAAAGTATTTCCCACCCCCTCCTGAATTCAGTTTTTTTTTTCATATCTATCACACACAAAGCATTCAAATCATCAAAGCCAATTCGAATATCACTCAGAGACAACCCAAAGAAATACAAAATGCAGTTTTACAAATGACAATTCAATTTCTTTTTCACGGCACTGTATATATGTCACAAATTATTCAATTATTTGGTCCAGGTTTGCTCGCTTTCACATATTCCCAAAACAGCTCACATCTCACCTTTATTCTAGGCTAGATAATTAGACTAGGCGGCAAACGCAATGGTGCTTAGGAGCGCTGAACAAATTGGCATGAAACTGCATCACTAGAATCTTCCTTGTATTGTTTTTAATTACCCGAGTCCAAAAGTGACAAAGCAATGACATCAATTCATTCTAGGATCAAATGAGATTAATTAGCACGGACATTAACGTGCCATAAAAATGAGATGGGATCGCACGGAGAAAAGCATCAGCCGAAAGAGTGGTTGGGCAGGAAAATAATCGAAGAGTGGAGTGGTAAAAAAAGCTGCAACACCAATCTTAAACCCGATGAAGAGCATCACTTTTGTGTATGGCAAACTCAGCATGCGCTATTGGCAAGTGAACTTTATCTCGTAAACATTGTGTTGAATGGTGTGGACATACAGTAGCATGAGCGTCCTCTCTGGGAGGAGGCACAAATTCTCCCAAGTGTAAGAGTTTGCTACAGCGAGGAGAGAGACAACCATGTCCTACTTGAGTAGGTGGATTAAAGGGGGTGAGAAAATGATTCCTCATGTTTATTTCATGACGTGATTCTTCAGTAAATAATCTCTCCTCTCGTATGACGCACTCGAATGTTTTTGTCCAGGCCACCTTATTTCTGCTCATTTATATAATCCATGACCTGCTAAACCGACCTAAAAGCACTTGACAGGATTAGACATCACTCAGCCTCTTGCTTGTTTTCGAATCTGTTTGGTTCCAGCATCAGTCTTCATCGACACTCTTTTCTTTCTTCCTCTCTGGATTTATTCTTATCATTTCATTCCTCCTCCTTCCTCTCGGTCTTCTGCCTTTTCGCTTTGTAGCTGGCGGAGAGTCTTCATGCTTTGCTATTAGTTATGCAAACAACCCTCTTCTTTTTAGACACTTGCATGTTTATGGTTTTCTACTGCCATTATAACGTATTCAAAAAACATGGCAATGACTTTCACATCTCCCAATGACCTGATTCAGCTCAGAGGTTGATGCCCTGCTCACTGGTGGAGCCATTTGCAGCAATCGCAAACAAATCAAAGGACGGCTTATCTCCATCTTCCTGTCCTTGCCCTGCCCTCATCTGTTTGATGCTCTCCGTATAATTTTGCATTGCACATTGCCCTGAGCAGTGTCTGAAAGCGGATGTGCGTCCACCCAAGCGCTTTGATGTCGACCATTTTGTTGGATCCTTGCCCAAAAACTTGTGCGTGAGTATGTGCGTCTCACCATGATCTTATTTCAACTTCCAGCGACAACGATAGCCATCAAGCTACATGCAAGTGTGATGTTTATGGTTTCGCAATAGACTAATCTATTTCAGTGTTCATAAGCTGGAGGCCAACTGACTCGAGCTCCAGCTGACACTCACTCGAATGTCTCCCAGCAGCCTGTTGCCATGGTTACTCCAGCTCAGTGGCAGCCAGATGCAGCAGTGTAATGTATGATCTAATGTATGTTCATTTTCCCTTCACGAAAGATTAGTGTGTTACTGGGATTGGGCATCCCCTGAAAGCCTTGTCTTCATCCCAACCAAGAGTCACCGTGCTTTCAGGTATCCTGAACAGTCCCTTTTTGGAAGACAACAGCAAACGAATGTTTAAGTACATTTGCAAGCTTACAAAAACAGTAACTCTGACTTCAACACCCTGGAGTACAATTTTAAGTGAAAGTGGGCACGATCTGCATTTTGGTCAGCAGCTGATATGCTTGAACTCCATGCCAGCAGGAAGAGAATAATGACCTGGTTCATGTCCTGAAAAGCAGGGAGTGGTAGGAAGGGAGCTGAGATTGATTTGTAGTCGATGTAAGTCACAGTAGGGGAGGTTGTAATGCATCTTAATTATTTATCAGCTCCAAACCAGATATTTTCCTTTAAGAATTGATGTCAGGTTATGGTCCACTTGCAGCGAGGCCAAGAGGAGCAACCAAATCCAGCAGATGGAGCTGCCCCTAAAAGGTCGGAGTGTAACATGTTTAAGATGATTCAACCTTGGTCGAGCTCTGTGCCCTCCAGTTCAGGGTGTACCTCGCCGACTGCCCGAAGACGGCTGGGATAAGTTCCAGCATGCCTGCGACCCATGCCCAGCTCAACCAACACTGACAAATACCTAAAAACATACACGTTGCACATATGCAAATGCACGAGTTCCAAACTTTGGGTATGCAGGGATCAACTAGTTTGGCGTTGTAATAACACTATTCACCACTAGATGGCACCCATGCTAGACCTGGGTTGAAGTTTGCCCACAGCCCCATACAAAAATTGGGGCAAATAGTCTGTTACGTTTATGCTTCATTTGTGCCGTTAAAATGTTTGTTTGTGCTGCAACTGTTTTGCAGCTATTAGTTGTTTTTTTTTAGGTCATTTGGTCGTAGGTCATTTTAGTGCATTTATGGATTGGGTAGAGACTGCAGAGACGTTTTTTTTTTTAACTACACATACAGTACAACCCAGTGCTTTAGTGAATCCAAACTAATGTCTCTACCCTGACCAAACATTGTGCTCCATCAACGTCTGGCCCAAGCCATGGAATTTCCCTTCAGGTGTGAGTTGACCTCTGGGTAATTTCCTTCTAATTACACCGCATGCTGCCATTTGCGAGCCATAATGACATTCTCTTTGTCTTCGGTGTGCTGTTAAATCACGAAAGCTCCTATTGATCAAACCTCTGCAAGCACAGCTTGCACAATAGAAAGTTATTGCAAGTGGATCTGCACAGCCATTTAAAAAGGCATCAAAAGAAATCAAACGGAAAGTGTACCACGTTTGAAATGTCAAAGACCATCGTGAACAAATTGAAAAGCTCTTCCATTTCATCCTGCTCAGTGGAGTAAGACTTTCTATAAGGGAATCAGGTATGTTTTTTTACAGATTAAAGATGACATTTTTCTTTGTCTGACATCTACCATCCAGTATATGGTGTTAAAAGAATACAACACCTAAAGGATTACTTGATCTCAATACATTATTACTGCATATATTGATATTCTGCTGCAAGTTGTGCAAAATGTAGTTTGAAGTATTTTTCACCTGAAAGGTTACAGAGCACTTTAGGTTTAATCTGAAACTTCACCCATGCATCCATCAATTAATCCATCCATCTCGACCACATATCTGTGGCCAGGTCGCTGCAGCAGCAGCTTTAGCAGGGAAGCCCACACTTCCTTCTCCCCAGCCACTTCTATCTCTTCCCAGGGAATCCCAAGGAGTTCCCAAGCCTCTCTTTGATGTAGAGGAGCAGCGGTTTGAATCTGAGTCCCTCTTGAATCACCCAGCTTTTCACCTGATCTCTGAGGCAGAGTCTGGGCACCCTGTGGAGGAAACTCATTCCAGTCGCTTGTATCCGGGATCTCGTTCTTTCAGTCATGACCCTCTGCTCGTGACCATCGCTGAGGGCAGTAATGTAGATCGACCAGGAAATCAAGAGCTTCACCTTTTGGATCAGCTCCTTCTTCAGCACGATAGAACGATATAGTCTGCATCACAGCAGACGATGCACCTAGATATTCTGTCCATAAAGTTTATGAACGGAATCAGTGACAGAGGGCAGCCTTGGCAGAGTCCAACCCTCACTGGACACGAATCCAACTTACTGCTGCCAATGCCAATCAACTCTGACGTTGATGGTATAGAGACCGAACAACCCATATCACCCCCGAAAAAATGCCACGAGTGACATGGTCGAACATCTTATGCAAGGCCACAAAACACATGTAGACTTGTTGGGCAAAATCCAATGCTCACTCGAGGACCCTGCAGAGGTTGTAGAGCTGGTCCACTTTTTCACGGTCGAGATGAAAACCACATTGCTCCTCCTGAATCGAAGATTTAACTTCCCACTGGACAGTAATCAGTAACCCTGAATAGACCTTAACAGAGAGGCTGAAGAGTGTGATCTCTCTATTTGGAACACACTCTCCAGTCCCCCTTTCTAAAAAAAGGGACCACGACCCTGGTCTGCCAATCCAGAGGCACTGTCCCCGATATTCACACAACTTTGCAGAGGCGTATCAACCAGGACAGCCTCACAACAACCAGAACCTTTAGGAACTCCGGGCGGATCTCATCCGAGGAGCTTTATAACCACCTCAGTGACTTCAACCCCAGAGATAGGAGAGCCCACCTCAGAGTCCCCAGCCTCTGTTTGCTCAACAAAGGCATGTTGGTGGAATGGAGGAGGTCTTCAAAGTATTCTCCCCACTTCCTCACAACGTCCCAAGTCGAGGTCAGCAGTGCCCCATAGTCACTATGCACAGTGTTAATGGTGCACTGAGACGCTGGATAGTGAACCAGAATTTCTTCAAAGTTGTTCGGGAGTCGGTCACCATGATCTCGCTGAACTCCTGCCACGCCCGAGTTTTTGCCTCGGCAACCGCTGTAAGCTGCAATCCGCTTGGCCAGCTGGGAGTTGAAACCTTTTCTGACAGGGGTTCTGCCAGACTTTCCCAACAAACACTCACCGTAGTTTTTCGGTCTCCCAGGTCGGACCGGCTTCTCACCACACCATCGGAGCCAACTCACCACCAGGTGGTGATCAGTTGACAACTTCACCCCTCTCTTCAGCCAAGTGTCCACACAGCGCTGACGTTTCACAGAAGCAAGCGACATTTGCATATTATCTGCTTGTGGCGCTGTAATTCTTTGGCAAACGTACAATGCCTCATTAATAAAGGATAACAAGAGAGACATCGCTCATGCCATGCTCAGACTCGGCTGGGCAGATGGTTCATGATTCGTTGATGGAGCCAAACACTTTGTGTGGGATCAACAGTGGCACAGAAGTAGAATTCAAGGTACTGTGCTGCATGTTTGCTCCAAATGGATGTTTGTGACAAGACCACAATATTTGCAGGGCTTGTAAGAATTCTTGTGAGATTTGTGCAAAGTTGAGAAAATCAGCTTCCTGGAAAGAATTTGAAAGAGCCTGTTTTTTTGGGGGGGGGGGGTTCAGGATAGTGCCCAAAAGACAATAGCTTAGTTAGATGAGAGAAGTAGGAAAAGAAAAGTTGTCAAAATCGCTGCAAGACATGGCTTTGTTTTTATGCCCTGCGTTTTGCCTGCTGTCATGCTGAGGACAAGCCAATTCACTGATTCCATCAGATAGAGGATTGGTTTGGTTCCTGGGCTCAACATGTATCTAGCTGACATTAAAATAGGCTGTGCATGCTTAAAATCTGATGTGCTTTCATTGATAACTGGTCATTTTGTCTTTTTTCATAAGCATCACCACAATTCAATCCCTTCATTTTGTAGAGATTTACCCACCCCCACAACCCTTTACACACACACACACACACACACACACACACACACACACACACACACACACACACACACACACACACACACACGCACACACGACATAGGTGAGTTGTGTCAATTATACATCCTCTTGCAGTTTTGCTTTTTCAATGTGTGTATATGAGGTGCCAAATGCAAATTTTGACGTGTGCCGCTAAACTGGAACATTTCTTTACAAATGTTATCTTCTAGTTATGTTACTAACACCCAGCCATATAATATGTTTGAATTGCTTTTATTTCATTTACATTTTACACTTTCATGTTTTTCAATTTAATCAGATGCTCTTAATTCATTCACAGTTTGGATGTAACACAATCACTTTGTTGCCTTAATTGGTGTAATGTAACCTTGATACTGGCAGTAATGAGTCGTCACTAAATTAATGGTATGTCACTCCTGCCATTGTATAAGAGTCTCAGGGCCTGATTTTTTAAGATCTTAAATAGCAGGCGCTAAATGGCGTGTTAGCCTGAACAGATTTCATGTGCTTTTGGCAACACGTGTAAAAGTCTTGGAGAATGCCATTATTTTGAAGAGTTTTCTTCCCCCTTAGTTTGCACTGATGATTCTCATCATTGGAACACACGTGAGAGCAACACATGAGCAAAATGAAATGATCGACTTGGAAATGTCAGTGGAAACCAAACAAACATATGACTGAGTTTCTGAAAAGATAGAGGCTACTGTACATTTTTTAATAATTTGGAGGAAAGTTGTCGGCCACGCATGGGATGTGCGCAATTGGAGACCACCTGGTATTACAAGGACCATGCTCAGTGATACATATTTTGCTGAACTGTTGTGGTTCACTTACTTGTGCCCCGCCCAACACAAAAATGTGTCACTCACAGTCATTACGCTCCGAAACTATCTTGCCCTTTTAGGTTATTGTCACAGGCTTAACCTTTTTCTTGCATCTCTTTAACCCAGAGGGGGCGGCAGATCAGAGTGGGTATGTTGGCTTAGCAGTGACAGCTCTCGACCTGACTGCTCTTCAAGGATATTCTAAAATCCCCAAGCTATCGATTTGTAGAGACAAGGGCAATTTGACATGCTGTTATTTCAGATTAAACATGACCAAATTATATTGTATTCCCTTTACGACCAGAAGTAACAAAGAATCCAGAGGAATAGTGTTTCATTATTTTTTTTTCATGATGTTGTTCAGTGGGGGAAGCAGGAAAAAAAAAAAACAAAGACACATTTGCTCAACAAATCAATAGTGCATTACAGCCTACAGAGGGGACCCCCAAAACACAATAACACACGGGAAAATAAAATATGATGCTCCCACAGTCCTTTGCAAGTTAACTGGCACAATATATAAACTGGAGGAAGGTGAGTGCCTGTGTGATATGAAGGTGATCTGTTATTCCACTTAATTTTATTATGTGGCATTAAAGTGACAACTGTGCTGGTACTGAAGGCATTGTTTAACAATGCTATTTTAACATTGCAAACGTACATGGGAGTCCGAAAACATGGAGTAACATCGCTGGATAAACAAATACTCAAGATCTGAAACGCTAGTATGTAGTATTGCTTTTTGGAGTACTGGTAAATTATGTGATTAAAGAAGACACTGTATATAAATGTGCAGTGTCGTCCAGCGTTGACACAAATGACCGCTATCTAGTCATGTGTTCAACAAACATCGCGACCAGTTATTTTCTTTTAAAAATCATTTTAAGAGTTATTCAATGTACGTGAAAATTCCTCATGTTGTAAAATTGCAGTCATCATAGAAAAAATATTAACATTTTACTGCTGCAAATGCAGTACATATGCTAAATATCCCTTTACGTTTTTGCTTTAATTTCAATTCAAATTGATATTGATTTATTGGAAAGCAAGTTTCAAACAATCTTTATTTGTTCAGTCTTCAACAACAACCAAAACCGTATAATCAAATTCTTCTCGTAGCAAAGCCTGCAGCCGATTCTCAGAGAAGAGACTGTGTGGCCGCATCGAGTGAGTGAATTTGTCAGTTCGACATGCTAAAAGGTGATGGAGCACAATGCCCCCTCAAGATTTGTGGCTGCCCCCCCTCATACCTGCCTGTCTAGACCCGGCCTTAGATGGACCTCTCTGTTGTTAGTTCTCCGATTTAAGCACACACATCAATGCCCCATTTACAGTAGATACTGATGAGATAGGGCCTGATTTGCAGTAATGAATGTTCCAGGATGCCATTCTTTGTGAAAGCCGTCCCAGTCTCAGCAGTGCAATAATGTCAACACTATAATTTGCTCTTCCCTCGCCTCAGGTCAGCTTTCTCCTTTTATAACTTGCATCACCCAAGATTGTCTTTTCACATAAAAATGTTCCACACTTATGTAATTACCCAGAATTTCTCTCGACATTACCGTGTCCGTCTCAAGGGTTCTTCCTCTGTAGAAACAATTAATTTTAGGTCACCGCTGTGGGGGCATTGAGAAATTAAAATCATCTCTCTTGGATTAATCTTGCTAAACAGTTTGATCAGTCCGTTAAGATTTTTTTTTTCATTCTATTAATTGAGCAACCCCTACTAGCCTTTGTTAGAGATGACGAAACCTTTGACAATGGCTTTAAAGAATATTAGCCTGGCCCGTTTTGTTTTCTTCGTTAGATCCTCCAATATTGTCTCGTGATGTCCCGGGTAATTCATCCATGCTGGCTGATCTTTGTAGTGTATTTAGTTCCTGTTAAACAGTACACCAGTTGTACCTGTATATTTATACAGAAATTAATTGGTTCTGGAAGAAATTTAACTCGAACATTTTGTAAGTCGAGACACGTTTTCCATGTAAATGCCCGAATCCATTCCAAGCCCCCCCCCCCGCCGCCCCCCCCACACACACAAAAAATACAGAAGTAAATGTTTTCTAAACCATAAAAATGCATCAAAATATGTAACAAATACATGTTACAATTAGATTATTGCACAATAAATGAGAATTGTGCATCATGTAAAAAACAGAATAAAGAATAAAAATAATGGTCATTTAACTGTGAACTGCATCCTCATAATTTTTTGCCCTCTTTAGTTCATGTTCTCTCTCAGAAGTGGTTTTTGCCTGGCGTTTTAGAAAGGACTGATCCAAGGACGTTTGCTTTTGTCGAGTTTTAACAATCTTCTGAAAATGTCCAAGGCAAACACCAGCATTGTAAGCGATCGCCCGACTGGTGAACACTTTTTCTGGGTGACTCACATTTATGTAAGACTATTGGGACGCCTCATGGCCCGAGGGGCGAATGACGACGACGCTGCATCCACACATATCTATCTGTCTATGTATCTACACACGTAGACGTATACGGTAGAGGTTGCTCTTGGCCAATGGGATGCCAGGAAGATGCTAGGTAATAGCCAATGGCAGAGAAGCTATACGTATGTTGCAATTCGGAGCTGCGATGAGCAGCCCATACTGTATTTTTACCCTTCGTATCCTGAAATTTCTTTCGTAACAAGAGGCAATCTTTTCGGCGTTTCGTATGAAGATGAAGATTTCGTCTGAAAAAAATAGCTCATAATCCTAATCAATATTTAGAACTTATAATATCAGAGTTCCCTTCCATGAGCCATCGCCTTACAGTGTTGGAGGGGTTTGTCTGGTCCAGTGATCCTAGTTGTTTGGGGCTTCATGCCCCTGGCTGGGTCACCCAGTCACCAACAGCGAACAGGTCCTCGGTGTGGGGACCAGACAACGCCAGCTCAGAACGACCTTATTGTGAGTAAAACCATTGGTCCACTAGTTCCCTTGCCCGGAAATGAAATCAAATGTCACACAGAGTCCACCAAAGGAGCTTGGAAAATGGAATCACAGCTTGTTGCTTGCCCTCACACCATGGCATGTCAAGTACCCAGCCATAGCAAACACAGTACATTTACTGTTAGCTTGTGCTCGTACATTTCCGGGTACTGTATTACATATAGGCTACCAAAACATTAAACTCATCATATAAAATTGTCTAAAGTCCCTGCTTCGCTAATCAAGGTGCTGCACCGGCGACCCAACTCTCGTTCAGTGGAAGAAGCTGGATGGATGGGTAAACTTCCTCTTGCACGTTCTTGAATTAAACATAATTTTATAGTCTTATGAAAAGCATATCGGCCTTTTGAATGCCTTCTGTAGATGAGAAGGACATTTCTTCCCGAAAGCAATGGCATGTACCTTGGCTTGTTAACAGTTTAGAAAATGTCATAGCCTTCCTTTTTAGGGGGGGTTGAGTGCTTTGAAAAAAAATTAAAAAACACCACACCACTGTAAGGGCAGAAATGTATCGCTTATCTAAGTCTCGCAACACTATTTGAATTTTTTGACGCTTTAAGCATTTAATTTCCTCATCTTCGCAACCTCTGTGCTCAGAGTATTAAAGCGCTGTTCTGTGCGGGGGAATCTTGATGCATTGACAGTGATTGGGAAAAAGATAATGGGGCTTGAACTTAAAGGGCAAAATAAAATATTCCAAGATAAGTATTTCCATTGTTCTATCATCCATTTAATTAAAAAAAAAATCTGTGGAGACGGTTTTCTGGTTTAAATGAGGGAAAGGTGCTCCATGTCACCAAGTTCAAGACCCATCAGAAATACCTCACTAAGAGGAGGAGTTGACCTCTATGTTTCCACTGCTGGTGGTTTGATTCTGTGCTCACGATTAACTGATCAGAATGTGGATATTTCCAAAGCACAGAAAACAAGGCCTGATTGTGCAGCTCAACATTTTTAACAAATTCCATCTCAGTGTCAAATCTTTTCTTGAAATGGCAAAGGAGAGACAGTATTACTTCAAATGAAGTCTCTTGGAAGATGATTGCACAATATTAAAACCGTATATTATTGCATCATTGTAGTTTAGGCCTTCTTTATATGCATTGTCACTTTCCTATATATTGTCCAAATTTTTAGAAGTGGATTTGAAGGAAAATGAGTGACAATAATATTGGTTTGAGTGATAGGGAAAACTGTAAAGCATTTGAATAGCTTTACAATTTCTACAACCCCAGAACTAGGGATTAATAATAAACTAAACTTTAATAATGTTTAATATTACGGTACCGGTAATTGGATTATGTTACGAACTACATTTTTAACAGATAACTAGAAGCCATAGCAGAATACATTTTAAAAATAAACAAGATTCAAGATACAACCGCATCACTTTCTGTTTTTAAAATGGACTGTTTTCGAGTCCACGTGAACAGACAAATCAAGGTTAGATTCACTCAGAGACAAGCCACTGTGACAAATAATGCACAAACTTTTTGCAACATAACATATGGTTCTTCTTGCATTATTTTTCACATACTAGTACTGTTTTGCCATCTTTCCAATGTTGATCACATACACGAGACAAATGTCCTCAGTTTTGCTGACCACTAAAATAGTATCGGGCCCCAAGGGCAATATTTGTGATTTGTGTTTTTGTGTTTCACTTTCGTAACACAATGTTTTTAGACACAGGAAGGATGAATTCACACTTCTCTGTCGTTTTGCAATCATTTCAGAATATTTCTGAAATTCCTATTCATTTCTGAGATAAAATGAAATATCAAGAGCCCCTTTGTTAACATCATAATAGCCCCTAAAACTCACACACACACACACACACACACACACACACGCGCGCACACACACACACACACACACACACACACACGCGCGCACACACACACACACACACACACACACACACGCGCACACGCGCACACGCGCACACACGCACACACACACACACACACACACACACAAACACACACACCCTCCACACACACACACATCACTCAAATACCTATAATAAGGTGTTGAGTGGAGAGTGTGTACAAAGAGATCAAGGAAATTGGTTTTCCTGAAAGTGATGAGTAGGTCATAAGCTGTTCAATCATAAAAGCAGATTTTACTAAACCTGCTCCTGGAACTTCAATTTAGATCAGAGAGAAAGAAACAATCTAATTCCTTTCTGTGCAATCTCCAAGGACTCATGCTTATCAGCTTTCTTGTGGCATCTTTCAGAGAAACTCACAAAATTACCCAAAAGTAGCATGAAGTCAATACCAACACGTGTTTGTTTAATAAGCACTATAACATCATCATTGGGGACAAAACGAAAAAGTGAGTGCATGTTGTGCTATATGCTGACGCGGATTTAGCGAACATACGGGGACTGTGTTTTGGCTGGCCTATGCAGAAGGTGGTGAATTATTCACACTGTTGCTGGCAGTGGGCCTGGGCAGGGATGAAAGGCCTGGCTTCCACCCCTGGAAGGGCTAAAGGATGGGAGTGTCTGTCCCCACTACTCTGATCTCTGAGTTACGCTAGCGTAGAGAGCAGCCTGATGGCAGTTTGTTCATTTAGGGTCCCTTGCTGGGTGAAAACATCCAGCCTGTGTCAATTAAACAGTAGCAGGTGGGCAGGTGCACTCCTCACTGTTGGGAGGAGTAGAGCCATTAGGGCAAATAGCTAATGCCAGGAAGCAAGATCAAGAACATCTGAACTGTCTTTGTCAGAGGTACTCCACACTGTACTTCAGGACATATTCTGCAACATTTCTTAAAACTACCACTGGTCTATGCTAAAAATTCACAGTGTTTAATATGTTCATGCATAACCCATCATGCACTTTAAAGGAAGTATCAATAGTTCCTGTGATGAAAAAAAAATCACTGTTGTTTGTGTAGTTTTGATTTGAGGTAAGCCACGAGAGCAGTCCTGATAGCTTCAGTGTACAAGATAATGGCTGAGTGAAGTTTTTTTTGTTGGGCAAGTCATAAGAGCTTGCTGCAAAACCTTTCATGGTCTCTAAGTAAACGAGGCACCTAGATTTACCTTTCCATTTGGTGAACATATAACCTGTTTCCTATTTTACCTGAAAAAGACAATTTTCTGATTTTCGTCATGGCGTGCTCTCACTTCTTCTCTGATGTAGAAAACCCGCTAAGAAGTGATTCCTTCCTTCGAGTGGTGAATGGTGTTATTAAAACTTAAAACTGTTCCAATGTGGTAGAGGAAACATGTTTCTGATTTTGAACAAAAATAATCGGTGGGCCACTGAGAATGGGCGCAGGCCGCACGTCGCCTGGGACCACCAGTTGCCAGTCCCTGATCTAAATGAACCATGTAATGGTAGTGCAGATTCATTCATTAGAAGAATGCTCAGATTCTTGGAAGGACCGACAAACCTCAGACAGGCAAGATACAAAAGTGTTACATTTCATATTCCTGACAGGATTGAATTCAGACTTATTTCAGAAAACGGTGGATTGTGAACTGACGGTCAGTGTTCGTCAGGAGCCATTGGTGGTGTGGTGGTTTTCTCAGGCCCCATTGCACAGCTCAGCTGCACTCAGCTTGACATTCTTCAGTTTGCGGTGGATGGTTTTCCACTTTGCTCCTTTTTTTTCAAGGGAGGACAGCAAGAAAAGTACCACTGTGAGACTGATAGGCTGCACAAGCTGTAACATACACTAACACAAAAGATATGATAACATGGACACACACAGTTTTTTTTCTCTCCCCCTACGTCCCTCACAGTCTACCAGTCGACTGCCATGGGTCCCTGAAGAAGATTTTGATTCACTGCAAGCGTGGCTAATTATTCATGTTATCAACTGACACATTTTGTTATCATCCACCTCATAATGACAGAGAATATCTGGTGGGTCTCCTTGCCTACACTTGTACCAGTGGCATGAGATCAGTGTCTTCAAAGCCTTCTTTGCTGGCCTAAAGACCATCAGAAGCACTGATCTTACAAAGAAAAGTTGAAACACGCTCTCAAATGCATGTGGGAAAATATGTTACGGTCCGATGAAACGACTCAGGGGGGAAAAATGTGGCATGCTCCCTGGAAGAAATCGTCAAATATTTTACATTTAAAAAAGCATCAATCGAATGCATTTTCAGAAAAAAGGCAGAATTAAAAGACAGTATCTATGTATGATAAAGTATCGATCTATCCCTGGTCACATTGTGCAACAAAGCAGGGTTGGGAGGGTTAAATGGGAAATGGGTTGTCACTTCTATAGTGCTTTTCAACCTCGGGTACTCAAAGCGCTTCACACGGTTACCTCATTTGACTGATGACGCAGCTTCAGGATCAACCGGGGTTCAATATCTTGCTCAAGGACACTTTGGCATGGTCGCAATGGCCGGGGATCGAACGACCAACCTGTGGGTTGGGAAACGACCCACTGAGCCATGGAAGGATGGATGGATGGATAATAATCAAGTCAAGTTAAGCACAGCTTTATTGTCAAATGTCCATACAACACAGATGAAATTTCTTCCCTCTCAAGACAACATGCAACAAGATTAATTACAATACTAAAATAATTAATAATAGATTTTAAAAATTAAAAAATAATATTCATACATCTTGACTTTGAAAAAAAAGTGTTGCTCACCTATTGTTGCTGTGGCACGGAAACTCCACTCTCATATTCCAGACTTCTTTCAAATTCAAATTCCTATCATCTTGTTTTTCAGACAGTTATCGTTGAAAGATGTTAAGAATTCTAAATTCATCATAAAGTTTCGTGTATAGTTGATATGACTAAACTTCTGTTGAGCTCTACTGTTGACACATTTGCCTATTTTTACCTTTGTACCTTTCAACTCAGCTTAAGAGCTCAGTATATTATTCAGTCTAATGGCTTCTCACTTTGTGTTTCCATAACAACCAGATAGCGGTATCAAGATAACATCCTGGAAAAGTACTGAGAGACAATCTCACCAACAACAAGCGATTAGAACCAGTCTGAGGCGCTGAGCCAGCCGGAGCTGTTGTTATCTCTTGCTGTCAAGCTTCATCCATTCATGCAAGGGGTCACGGCAACTGCTCTCAAGACTTCTGTGCTCTCCGATTGGGACTTTTTTCATCAAAGGTGTGTTGATGAGAAAGCTCAGTGCTGGTTCTATCAATATTCTTCGGAATCTTTCAATTGGTTTATTCACAAAGCCCTTCCCGGCACAAAACTGAAGATTACGATGACATGGATTTGAATTGGATGCTTGTGTTTGCAAGGTGATAGTGCTGCACTGTTCCTGACTGGTGACCATTGCAGGCTGAACTGCGCCTCTCCCCCCGAAAGACAGCAAGGCGAGTGCTGGGCAATTGATCAAAAGTTAATGGTCATTTGATTTTGGCTTCTCACGATCACAAAAAAATCAGAATCAAACAAAAACGTTAATGTGCCGAATGACGTGGTGTGAAATTTCCCGCATTGTGAAAACACCCCAAATGCCCCTGCGTTGTTAATAACAATTGTGTGACATGCTCTTTTGCGCTCCCTGAGCGTACTTTAACATTTTGGACGTTGGAGTTTACTGTAAAACTTAACACACGACACACAAAATCAATGAGTAATGAATAATCGTGTTGATTAATAGTGGTTTTAATATGAATCAAAATAATCATGATTATGAATTTTTCCAGTCATGAGCGAGGGCAGGCTCCCACGCACACGTGACCCTAATGAGGGAAAGCTCTATCGAAAATGGATGAATGGATAAAGCCGCCCGCCGCCTACCTTCTTGAACAATTATCTGCATCTTGATTGAACTACCCCGTATAACCTTTTTTGGAACGAAATAAATAATCTGTCCAATATCATCCAATTGCTCGCTAAATTATGAGGGATGAGGTGAGACGGAATATTGACTGCGCAACAGGACAACACAATAAAAACATAATCAGAAGAGTGAAATCGCTTTCGGGTGGGGCCGTCTTTCATTTCACTTCTTCGGCATCCTAACTCGTGGGATAAATCATTTGAACACATGCCACCAGTGTTCACTCAAGTTAAACTGGCCTCCTGTGAGGGCATTTATTGCATGCTGGAAGTGGATTAATATTCATACAAGTGCACCTCTCTGAATAGAGCCATATGTTCCGATGTGCACGGAGAAGCACAGAGCATCTGCTGACACTCACGCTCACCAGATAGGGCACTCGATGGATGCAATCATTCAGCATTCTCCTCTGTCCAAGATGCATTTCAGTATCTGCTCCCAAAGGTCATGTACGCAGAACGTTACATTGGAAAAGAAATTGAACGAAGAGGTATGAGATGAAAAAGAAACAAAGACATACCGTTAGAAAAGTACTGAAGATGGAACAACATTTTTGCCCTTGTGCCGTGTCAGTATGGAGATTTCCAGTGAAATTACGTCAGTTGTAATAATGCCGTATTACCCCAGCTGCCCCCACCCCACCCGGAAAAAAATGATCTAGTTGTTTCATCAATTAATAAGAATTCTATCGCGTTAGGGTTAATAAAATAGCATTACTTCAAGTTAAAATGTTCAGGTTGCACCAATTCGATATTTTTTGAATTGATCAAAGCCTAAATATTGACTCTACGTATTCTTAAGCTATCTAGTGTTTCATATTCTTTTTGTTTCAGTGTAGTACCAATGACTCTGGGGTATGCGCATACGCAGGCTCACTGAACTTGGCAGCAACATCCACTGGTGCTGGTGATTCTCGTGACTGTGCTCATGAAGTCAAGTAGGCGTCTGGACTCGCAAGTAATCCCTGAACTCCATCAGTCTAGAATGGCTGGTGTTCCAATATTTAGATCGCAAGACAGAGGACCAAGTTTTTCGAGTGCTTCTGGTCTTGCTTTATCAATGGACTTTAAACAGTGAATGAAGTCTGGACCTTTGGCTGGTGTTCACGGCCCAGAGGGAGCCTTCGGAAGCCTTCGGAAGGCTGGATATGAGACAGATTTATGGATAATGCTGGGGGGAACAGACTGCATGTTGGGGTGGGCATTGAGGCACATGGTCAATGATTTTGCATCTGCTCCCCGACCGAACCTGACCTGTAAATCCAATGTGTTTATGAGGTCCTCCATCTCTTTTTTCATCAACAAGGCAAAAGTTAGTTGTAATGTGGAATCAACATATTAAACTGAATAATTGTTTGTGAACGTTTTCTTCTAACGCCCATCCCGAATGTCAATCGCCAAAAGAGCAGCAATTATTTGTGTTGGCCAGAAGGGGTGGGGGAGGGGGGGGCACCACAACAGATCACAAAAAATATCACTAAGTGTGGTCCTTCTAATACCATCATCTCCCTCCCAACCGAACTGACAAATGCTTGACCAGCAGAGATGGAAAACGTACTGATATTCTCTACATGGGTAAAAGCGCAATTACTTGAGTAAAAAACAACGACGGTAATATTAAAAGTACTATTTCAAATAAGTACTCAAATAAAATTTAAAAGGGGCAGCCCTGTGGTCCAGTGGTTAGCGCGTCAACCTCACAGTGCAGAGGTACCGGGTTGGATTCCAGCTCCAGCCTTCCTGTGTGGAGTTTGCATGTTCTCCCCGTCCCTGCGTGGGTTATCACCGGGTACTCTGGTTTCCTCCCACATTCCAAAAACATGCATGGCAGGCTGATTGAACACTCCAAATTGTCCCTAGGTGTGAGTGTGAGCGCGGATGGTTGTTCGTTTCTGTGTACCCTGCGATTGGCTGGTAACCGGTTCAGGGTGTCCCCCGCCTACTGCCCGAAGACGGCTGGGATAGGCTCCAGCACGCCCTGCGACCCTTGTGAGGATAAAGCGGATCAGAAAATGGATGGATGGATGGAAAATTTAAAAGCTACAGGCTTTGAAATGTACTTGCTGAGTAAAAGAGTTTGAGCAGATGTTTCCTCCTCACATCATACACGTAATTTGAAGGCTATTAAAGTTGAAAGATCGGCACTAAAGACACAGTTAAAACTGGCTAATGGTTGGTTTTAACTGTAATGTGTTTAATCATGCAAGCATAGACCCACCTCTTGGAATCGAGTATTTTTTATTTTTTTAAACAACTGCTGCATTCAACAAGACTAATACACACACACACACGCGCGCGCACACACACACACACACACACACACACACACAAAAGATTCCCCCTAACTCTACAGTTAGTCAGTTTTTTTTTTTTTTTTTTTTTAACAATTTTCTTTTCTGCTTGGGGAAACCACAAAAATCCTTTGTTGAGCTTGAGCAGAAGCTGGTTCCCTTTGAACCAAGGTGCCCTTCTCGGACAGAAAATCATTCATGCCGTCTGTTGTGCTAAAAGGCTCTCCCACGCATCTGAGGCAGGTCGTGGTGTGTGGAGCTTAAGAGAAAAACGGGGAAATGAGAGGGAAAGATTTAAGGATGTCCATCGGGTCACTTGGGCAGGCCAGATAATACTCACGCCGTCGCGTGTTTTCATACCCATTACCATGCTGGATGTGGGAAAATAAGTCAGAATTCAGGAAAAGAAGCCTACATCTGGCTTGTAAGCCCACTTCAGGAAGAGCAGTGAATCAAATTCTTATTTCTGAGGAAAAATTCCGACATTAATGTATAATTGAAATGCATCGCTAGTTTTATCAGAGTATACGCTACGCAGCCTCAATGTGCTCTGTTTTCCTGGGAATTTTTGTCGCCAAACGTGGCAAAAGTGGAGGGCACACATCGTGGTTTTCATAAATCTGAGGGAGACGTGTCCTCTCTGTCCCCATTTCCATCTGCGCCCATGTTTCAATTCCACATGCTTTATCTAAAACAGCCGTTACAATAAAATAGAACATTCCATCTGTGTCCTTCTAGGAGGCATTTTTCTGCTCACTATGATTTGGTCATTTATTTACATATTCACAACGTTGTTTTCTGTAGGTTTTCGATCACCCTGTCCTTTTCCCCGCTGCGTGCTCCCCATCCTTTCTGGTATTCTTTGTTTGCCATTTCTATCTCATTGATTCGCTATTTTTCTCCTGTAATCAGACACACAGATCCATCTTTGTCCCCCTCGGATGTCACCTACATCAATTTCAGAACACTTTTCCCACCTTGGAGGGCCACTGTTAGGGGTAGGACCCCGCAGCTTGGGACCCTCCTCTACACACGCACACACTTCTAATCTTTTGTTCGCCCACACAGTCACTAAAGTGCGCACAGGGAGCAGACTTGTTCGAACATGATTCACGACATCGCCGTTCTCTAATGTCTGACTTGGTTCATCTTGGAAACATCCATTCGTCTCTGCCGACAGGTCCTGGCAGTCACATCTATCCATTATACTCTTCTCCTCACTCCATCGGTCCACATTCTGCTCAGCTCAACCTCCGACCCCATAGCTCAGTCTTTTTCGGGAACATCAGTGGCGAAAGTGAGGTTATTATACAACATTGGGTAGCCATACTGACTCAAATAAT